CTAAATTTTGAGCTTATGTTTGTTTCTTAGTCGTTTCCACTGAACTCTATATATCTGGAATGATGTCTGACATTGATGGTCGCGAACCGAGAGAGAAGTCTGATTCTTGTATCCCTCTCCTTCTCTTGCTAAACTGCGCAGGCGTAGTACAATACGTTCCAAAAGTTTACTGTTAACTGTGTTATGACATGTTCACGTATACATACTGTTAAATATTTTCTAATGGACCTGTACCGACAAAGAGGGGAATACAAGAATCAGCTTTGAAACAAACATAACCTCAGAATTTAGGTCACTTTTGGTGGGAAATACGGAGAGAGGGTAGGGGGGAGGACTTTCGGCCCTATTCAGTTTTGAAACGAACATAACCTCAAAATTTATGTCATTTTTGGGGGGAGACGGGGACTTGCGGCTGTACTGAAATCAGTCTTGAAATAAACATAACCTCAAAATTTTTGTGAATATAGTCGCAAGCCCCCCCTCCTTCCTGACGTTGAAGGAGAGGTGGATTTTCTGCCGAAATTGAACTAAGTTTTAAGATTAAGTTATTTTGTCGGGAAACGACCAAGAAACAAACATAACCACAAAAAGGTTAAACTTTGAAGGAAAATGACCAAAAAACGAACATAACCTCAAAATTTAGGTCAAACTTTGAAGGAAAATGACAAAAAAAACGAACATAACCTCAAAATTTAGGTCAAACTTTGAAGGAAAATGACCAAAAAACGAACATAACCTTAAATGTAGGTCAAATTTTAGCTGGAAAATTTAAAAAATTAGATAAATTTTGTTTTAAAAATTGAAAATAATAAAAATTATTGTTAATAAAAATAGTAAATAACATTTAAATAAATAAATAATAAAGTATTAATAATAGTTTTAAATTCCAGAAATTGTCTAAACATTAACTCAAACATCTACAAAACCAATAAAAAATAGGGGGTTGGCGCTTGAAGCCCCCCTAGTATATATATATATCTACTTTAATTTAAATCGAATAAAGGACTTTTTCGTTATTCAATATTTCAGTTAAATCCCAATAATCTCGCAGCAAAAATTCATCATTAAGATTTCATTTTCATAGCACTTGAATATTTGCATTTATATAGCGTTGATAAAAGATAATGTTTATAAATTGATAAATCAACGCCAGTGTTAAGTTCGATTGACTCATAAATAATGCTAGGCATGAAACTTGTCAAGATTGCTTTTTGGATTTGTTAGCCATGCATACGAAAGATCTGAGTAATTAAAAACTAGATATATAGAGTATATATTTCTATACAATTTTATTTTTTATAAGAAGATTTTTTTTTATAAAGTGGCGCACGAATTTCCCATAAAAATTATTAGTTAAACTAGCAAAATTACACGCGCGCAAGCGCGCGTCCAACTTTGATTGCAATGGTTATTTTAAAATAATAATAATATTAATAATAATAATAATAATAATAATAATAATAATTCTGCATCAGTGGAGTATTAAATTAATAATAGGTATATTTCTAATTTTCACGTTATCATTTATTTATACACAGAAAAAAATGAGTTTGATGTTATATAAATAAATAAATTAAAGTAAAAATTTTAAAATATAAATATTAAAATTTTAGAAATAAATATTTTTGATAAAGTCAATGTTCGATGAATTTTTTATAATCTTTCAAATTACAAAAAATTAGTTATGTTAAATATTTTTTTGTATTTTCTATAAATATTTCGTTGCAAATAAAAATTTTAAATTTATGTTTTTTTTTCAAAAAATTTAATTAACTGATAATTAATAAATATTAAAAAATTATGTAATCAAAAAGAAATTTAAATTAACAGAAAATTATTAATTATATTTTAAAAAGTATTAAGCAATTAAAAAATATTTAAAAATTTTGAAAAAATAAAACCTAAAAAAAATTTGTAATGTTTTAAACTTTAAACTTAAATTAAAAATTAAAATCAAATTGAAAATTTTTTAAAAAAGCAAACTATTTTTATATTGTTTATAGATAAAAAAATATAACAATTTAATAATTAATAATAATAAATTTGTGAATAATAATATATAATAAATAATAATGAATAATGAAAAAATAATGAAAGATAAATAATAATTATAAGTTAAAATGTTCTAATTATCTGTAATAATCATTATATTTAAAAAAATGTATATATAATATAATAAATTTATAAATAATAATAAAAATTATATTATAATTGAAACTTTTTTTTCTATAAATACCAAGTAGGAAATATACTGGTGCTGCACATAATGAACAATATTTTTTTTTTACTTTAAACTGTCACTTAGTATATGACTTAATTAATGGCGATAAATAAAAATATCCGTCGTGTTAACCATAAAATATTACGAAATCAAGAATTGTCAAAATTTTAGAAAAACGAAAGGAACAAAATACGACTAACTTCAAGTGTGCGAATGAATGAATACGGAAATTATTATAGTTAATTTTTTTTTTGATCATTTCTGATTAGTTGATTTTAAAATTTACGCTAAAATCTTTCTGATGATTGTTTTGTCGATCATTTACAGTTTCAGGCAAATGAAAATTCTAGAATTTAAAGATTCAAATCACATAAAATTCTCCTAATTTAATATATAGTCCCTAATAACACAAGATATCTTGAGATATATTGATAATATCCCGCAGATATCCTAGGTATGTCCTATGGTTATCAAAAGGATCTCTTAAAGATATCCAAAAAATCGGCGGTTTGGATATCCTTTGGATATCCCATGGATATCTGAGGATATCCACAGGATATCTTTTGGATATCTCTATAGACTTTCATAAATGTCCTCCAGATATCCCATAGATATCGTCAGGATATCCCACAGATATCATCAGGATATCCCATAGATATCGTCAGGATATCCCACAGATATTTTCAGGATATTCTCAGTATATCTTCTGGATGTCAAGAAGATATTCTCAGGATACTGTTTTTAAAGTCATTATGAGACAACGAGTGAGAATATTCTGTGAATTAAATTTTATATAAATAAAATAAAATGCAACTTGTTTTTCGAGAAAGTTGTTTAATTTGAAAAATTATTAACTAATTTTTTTCTCATTCGTGATTCATTCCTTTATTCATATGCTTAATATTGTCAGAAAATAAATTGGCTTTAAACAATATAAATTCTTCCCCGCAAATAACGAATGACTATTAATATTAATTATACATTAAGTGCATGACTTTATTTAAAAACTTTGAAAAATGCGTTTCAAATCTTCATTTAAAATAAATTAGAAGCTCATAAGATTTTTCTTTTTATTATATTATTATTCATTATATTAGCTTAACAATTTTAACCTTTAAAAATATATGTTGAGATATTAAATATCCCGTGAATATCCTAAGAATATCCCACGGACATCCTGAGGATATCCCATGGATATCCTGCGATATAATATCCCATAGATATTTTGTGGATGACTTAGGGATATCCTGTGGATATCCTATGGATGTCCTGTTGATGTCCCACAGACCGGCGGTTTGGATATCCTATGGATATCCCAAGATATCCTGGGGACCATTCTAGGATATCGACCATTGATATGGATATCCTAGGGACATCTTTTTGTTATGAGGGGTTAATTAGAATTATAATTAATTAAAAAATTAATTATATCTCTACTAACATTTTTTAAAATGAAACTTTTAATTAAAATTTTAATCGGTAATTCATGTGCTCATTTTAAAAGAATGATATATATATATATATATATATATATATATATATATATATATATATATATATATATATATATTTGTTTTAGAATTCAAAATCACGAATGTGAATATAATTTATTTGTGAAGTTTCATATAATAGTTAAAACCTTGTTAGGTTACATTTCTGTTTCCCCAAATGAGAGATAATTAGAAAAGGTTATATTTCCTTATGAATAGTCAAATTGTTAGGTATATACGTGAATATAACTAAGCCCCAGGGTTGAAAACAAGCTAAAATCCATAATTAGAGAAAATGAGAATTTCAACGTTACAAAAACACCAAAATAAAAATAAAAAAAGATCATATTTCAAGAGGAATCTTGTATATTTGCAAATTTAAGTGATGTGTATTTATATATCCGCAAATATATCTATTTTTAATTAGTGAGTTTACAAATATTTGTAATAATATTGTAATAAGATACAGTTTATTTTTAACATTACTGTATGTCAAGTGCGTACTATATATTACAAAACTAATATTATTAATAATAAAAATAATATTAAATAATAATATCGAAAAAATGCAGTGAATATAAAGAATGCAATTTATTTTTGATTACATACATGTCTTCTTTTGTACAAAGGTAAATGAAGTTGGAAATGTATAACAAAATAAAATGTAATTTTGCGCGGAAACTATTTGAATAGGAGCGCGCCTTTGTATAAAATTCGGTGAACTTGGAGATATCGAAATTATTCAGATGAAGCAAACTATTGGTACCTTCGATACACCTTACATGAATAAATAAAACCGATACAATATTACACTACCAACCTTCTGCCAACACTGGCTTCTCGCATGTAAGCCGATTTTCTCTATTCAGTTTAGAGCTTCTTCCTTCAAAGCAAAGCATTCCCTTTTATTGGTAACTGCAATGCATATATATATATACGTAAATATATACCTTTTATAAAATGATAATTTTATTATAAAATTTTTTATATTACTATATATAAAGTAAATGATTTGTAATAATCGTTTAAAAATTAAAATAATAATTAATTTAAAATCCACAAATGACATTCCATATGTGCCTTGGGCATTTGAAATTCGATTTTACGCACGGCCGCAGTAGAGTGCATGGAAAATTTCTTGTGCGGGTATACCATTTCCCCTCACCATACAATAAGTAGAAGATAGTAAAAATACTATTTTTAAATGCCCAAATTTGATAAAGATTTATATATTACCCTTATCTTATTTTTTTTTCTCAACGAAATATATAAAAGCTAACGCACATATTCATTACAATGTCATTTATATCGCAACACTTTACAAATAATGGCTGTTTTATTAACTTCATTAGTATTAGTAAGCTGCATTGTAATTCTCTTTCGATATTACGCCAAGTATAAATTAAATTATTGGAAAAGACGTGGAGTCGATTCATTGCCAACGGATTTAATTTTCGGCAATTTTAAGGATGCCGCACTTTTTAAAACTGCACCTGGATCGTATCTCGGTGAATTACATAAATCCGCTAATACAAATGCTCCAATGTTGGGATTTTATATTTTTCATAAACCATGCATAATTTTGAGAGATATAAATTTAATTAAACAAATTATGGTAAAAGATTTTGAAAATTTTACCGATCGTCATTTTGCTGGTGCACAAGAAATAGACAGTATTGGAATGAGATATTTATTTGGATTAAATAGTCCTGCGTGGAAATATTTGAGATCAAAAATTACACCCTCATTCACGAAAAGTAAATTAAAATTAATGTTGCCATTGATGATGGAAACTGGAGAAGAAATGATGGAATTTTTAAAAAACGAAAAAACTGACGCTAATGGAATTAAAAATGTTGACGCTGAAGAATTAAATTATAAATATACCAGCGATATAATTGCATCAGTTGGACTTGGAGTGAAATTGAACACGTTTAAAAATCCTGATTCTGAATTCTCTAAAAATAGTAAGTATTACTTTTTATTACAAAAAAAAAAAAATTTATTTTAATCGGGGTAATTAAATATTTATAAAAACAAATTCAATGCAATATTCACAAATTATTCATATTCATATGATGTAAAATACAGTAAAAACAAATAGGGAGGTCCTTTATGTTCATTTCATGAAGATTTTGCTGTGAAGAAAAAAATTTGTTTTCTCGTGGAGGAAGCAATAAATTTCTTTAAATCAATTGATTGATTTAAAACATTTCGAGTTAAAAAATGTATATTACATATATATATGTATATATATATTCGATTATAAATATTACATATTTTAAATAAATTAAATTTTTTGAGAAATTAAAAATTAAGAATATTTTAATTAATTTTGGGTAATATATACCCAAATAACACACGTACTAGTACGGTAGTAGTATAATACTAGTACGACGTACTAGACGTACTAGTACTGTACCAGCCATGTACCTTCGCACGGTACCAGGTACTGTACTAGTACGGCGTACCGGTATGCAATATCGGTAGAATACGAGTACTATACGAGTACGACGTACTGAAAACTTTTGTGACTTAGTATAACGTACTGTTATTGTACTGGTACAATACTAGTATGATGTACAATATAAAATATTATATACCCTCCCCTTTCTCTTCCCACAATAGTATTTTCATTATTTTCATTTATTATTCAAAAGAAAATCTGTGGGAGAACTGAAATAATAATAATTCATTTTTATTGAATCATTTTTTTTATTTACATCATATATGTAACTTGTATTCTCACTTATCTTAAAATATCTGGTATTTTATATTATTTTAATTACTTAACTTTATCAAATATTAATTGATTATTTCTTTACATTTAAACATTATTTCAAAAGAATTTTAAACTTGATGTTATAAATTGCTTTGAAATTTGCTTTGAAAAACATATTATCACATCCTAACCTATAAATATGTTATATGTATAAGAAAAACTATAACGAAATAACACACAATTGAATTTAAAAATATATCAATATGATCAAGACCGAATTTATGAATTTTTCTCATTATAAATGTAAAAGATTTTGATGTTTTTCAATGAAATAACACCATGGCACCATGTCAAAGTAAAAGAATATAAATCTTATAAAGATCGATAATTTAATATAAATTTAATCTCGGATATTCAAGATGAGTACAGAAGCACAAGTTACAAACGTTAAAACTCTTTTGCTGCATCATAAACGACTTTTTTCAGCAACATTTAATGCACCGTTTTCAGTGACGCGTTCATATTTGACAATTGTCAAGAAAGTGAGGTTGGGTTGGCATTACCAGCAAAGATTCCCAGTACGACGTACCAGTATTATACTTGTATCGTACAAGTATGTTGTGCTTCTTATTTCAGAAGTACGACGTACTGGTATTGTACTAGTACTATACTTTTATCGAGTAATCATATTTTACAATTCTAACAGTACGACATACTTTTATTGTACTAGTACCGTACTGGTACGACATATATAATTATTTTGTACTTGTATAAAACTAGTATAATACTAGTACGCCGTACTCGTAAATAACGATTAGTACGCTTGGTTATCTGGGTATATATATATATATATATATACCAATCGATTCGTTTCAATACATAACCGAACAAACACCTGACCGAAACATTTTATCAGAAGTTTTAAAATCAACCAATCATAATTATCTTGATAATTTTAAAACTCCCGCTAAAATGTAAAATAGAAATTCTCTCATTTAAAATTAAAAGAGTCATTTGTTTTCAACATTTTCAATGAATCAACTTAAACGTCTCCAAATTTCAATTAGTTGCGAAAAATGAGTAAATTTTTCCCTGATTTTAAAAATTTTTAATTAGTTTATAATTATATATTTACTTTTATTTTTTTTAGTGACTCATTTTTATCACAGTCTTAGAAGAATGCTAGCATTGGTTACTGTTTTCTTTACGCCTGAAATAGTTGGAGTATTTGGTAAAAAAGTTCTGTTTGACTCATCATTCCTTGAGAAGATTTTCTGGAAATCAATAGAATCAAGAGAAAAAACAGGACTCCATAGAGGAGATTTTGTTGATTCTTTACTTAAATTAAAGAATGGACCACAGAATTCCAATTATAGTAAGTATATTTAATATCATTGTAAAAAAAAATTTCTTGATTAATTTTACCAGAGCAAAAAAACCCTAAGAATTTTTAGGATAAAAATAAGTTCTTAATTTTTTTCGCACGGAGAAAAAATTTAGCTGCTAATTTTTTTTTAACAAATTATTTAAACAAAAAGGATTATCAGGTCCAGTCTAAACCTTTTTCAAAATATTCTTAATATTTCTAGATATCTAAAAATAAAAAAAAGTAAAGAAAATCGGGTCCTAAGTTTTAAAAAATTAATTTGTTTATAAAAAATCGTTATTTTTTATATAAAAATTAAAAAAAAAACATTTTTTCGTTAGCTTATTTCGAAAGTCCATGAAAATCGTAAATATAAATACATACATATCTTAAAATACATTAGCGTTGAAAGTTTTTTTTTAATTAAATTAAGTGCTAAAAATTAATTTCAAGTTAAAAAATATTTAAAAATATTAATGCCAGAAAAAACGATTTTTATTGGTTACTTGATTCACAATTAAATGCAGCTTTGATAACATTTTTTAAATCATTTAATTGTTAATGTGAGGTGCTTAAGGTTATGTGACTGTTACGTAAGTAATGTCAATTTGTCCGTAACTTTTCTCGTAAAGTACTGAATAGATTGAATTGAAATTTTATGGAGGAGTTCCAAATATATGATAAGGAATGGTTGTCAAGTTCAAAAATGATGATATATTGTTAAATAATTATGATAAAACACTTGAAAATAATTAGAAAATGTGGGGTTAGGAGTGTCCGATTTTCTAACAACTTTTTTATTTTTTATTATTATTATTTAACAATATATCAATATTTTCGTACTTTACAGCCATTTTTTATCGTATTTTTAATTTCCCCACAAAATTTCAGCTCAATCCATTGAGCATTTTACGAGAAAAGTTAAGGAAAAATTAACATTACCGACCTTAACAGTCACATGACCTTAATGCGTAATGCTTCAAGCCCAAGGTATCCGAGTTCGATCACAGCTTCATCGACATTGTTTCATTAATTGTGTAGAATTTTAAAAATTTTTAAATAATCTTAAAATAAATTTAATGCTGTATTAAAATTTGGAAAATATTTAAAAAGAATTGTCTATTTGCTGTTGCAGCTAAATCGTTAGTAAATTTTACCTTTGTAAAAAATACCCCAATATTTTTAGGTAAAAATTTAAATGTTAAATTTAAATGTTATTATAGTATTTTTACTCAAAAAATGATTATTATGATCATCATGGTGGCGAGAAAGTTGACGCCTGATTCGTAAGCCGTTCTAATATTTTAATTATAATAAATATAATATTTTCAGAATTTGAAGGCAAGAATCTTTTTTACCAAGCAGGAACATTTGTTTCGGGTTTTGAATCCAGTTCGTCGGCCTCGTCATTCACATTAATGGAATTGGCGAAATATCCTGAATTTCAAACGAAAGCACGTGATGATATCAATGCAGCAATAGAAAAACATGGATTAACTTACGAGGCATTCAATGATATGAAATATCTCGATCAATGTATTGCAGAAGGTATTCGGCTTCATCCTCCAGTTGCCACAGTTGACCGTTATAAAATGAAAGATTATCAGGTGCGAAATATTTTCTTTAACTTGTTATATTTTATAAAATTACAAATATCGAAAATTAAAAATTATTTGTGTTTTTAGGTTCCAGGCACTGATATTGTCCTCGAGAAGGGAACAGCGATTTATGTTTCGCTTTATGGTTTACAACAAGATTCCAGATTTTTTGAAAATCCTTCAGAATTTAATCCAGAAAGATTTGACAGCGAAAGTGATGTTTCCGATGCTTATATTCCATTTGGTGTTGGGCCACGAATGTGTATTGGTAAGTTAAATGCAATAATAATAATAAATAATAATAGTTAATAAAATTGTATTTCAAAATTTTTATCATAATAGCTTCAGAATTGACATTGTTGTTTGTAGTTTTTTTTAACTACATAAAAAAACATTTTATTTTATAAAATTATTATTTGATTTATTTAAAAAATATATGTTTCAGGTATGAAACTTGGACAACTACACGTCAAAGTTGTAATAGCAATGATTTTAAGAAGTTACGAAGTGATACAATTGTCTAAAGATGAAACTATTTTGGATAATCGAGCAACATTAACTGTTGCTGCTGATGGAATTAGTCTTCAATTTAAGGAAATTATATCATCATAGACGCGGAATAAAACAGAAATTATTGCTCTTTTGCTTGTGAGCAATTCCATGGTAAATGATCATGGAAATTTCGTTCAGGTAAGGGATTTAGATGAAACTGCAGGAATTGATTCTTTTGAATATGTACATAACGAAAAAAATTGATAAAGCTTTTTTTGAAAAATTTTAATAAACGTAGGAGATATTGAACTTTGAAATTTTTCAACCTTTTATTTTTGAAATAGCATAACTTTTTATCAGTAAAAGCTATAATTAACCTTTATGGGACTGAGGAAAAAAACACCTTCTATGGACGGACGAGGCACCAGGGTATCTATGTTTAATTTATTAAAGATTTTGTATCAAAATGAGTAGTTCAATTAACTTTAAGTATAGTGGACATTTTAATGAAAGTAATAATCACATAATATGAATACACTGTAAAAAGAAAGTCTTATTTTAAGGCCGAAAAGAGGTCTTATTTTAAGAGGCAACATTTAAAAAAAATTGACCTCAATAGCTTTCACTGATAAAAAGTTATGCTATTTCAAAAATAAATGGCTGAAAAATTTCAAAGTTCAATATCTCCTACGTTTATTAAAAATTTTTCAAAAAAAGCTTTGCGATTTTTTTAGTTATGTATACATTCAAAAGAATCAATTCCTGTAGTTTCATCTAAATCCCTTACCTGAAAGAAATTTCCATGATCACTTACCATGGAATTTCTCTTGTAAATTATATACTATTCTATTCTATTCAAAAAAAAAATTTTATTTTATTGATTCGAGACTGTTTTACCAAACGCTGTTTATTATTTGTTTATAATTTTTTTTTATTTTAAATCATTTTAAATACCAAAATTTTAATGTTTTTATGCGATATTTATAAGTTAAGGACTCTAAATATTCTATAACGTACGTTTTAACAATGTAAATTAAATTAAGCTTGTTTTTAAATAAAATAAATTGTTTTGCTTTATTAGTTAAAATCTTATTTTATAAACAAGAACATGCAAAAATTGAGTAAAGTGCAATTTTTTTTAAATCTGCTTCTTATAGGTAATGAAATTTCATACACTTTATTAATACATGTAGTTTCTTAAATTAAAGTACTTTATGTATCGAATGTCAGTTTATTAAAATTTTTAAAATTTAAAATGGCGGAAATTTCTTCAAAATTGATCCGATTCGACTGAAACTCGTTATTAATAGGTTTTCGAGGTCACTAATTTCTCGAATTCACTTACAGATTGTGTTACACAGGAGTTTTCAGGGTTGCTGATTATGAATCTGACATAATTTTTTCAAAATTCAAAATGGCTGATCCAATATGGCGGACAACAAAATTAAAAATTAAGCGGATTCGCTTGAAACTTGTTTCTCGAGTGTTTTTGGGCCATTTTTAATTTGGAAAAACTGATATCAAATTCAAAACCAGCGAATCCAAGAACCTTAAAATAACAAGTTTCAGGCGAATCCGACAATTTTTAATAATTTCCATCTGCCATATTGGATCGTCCATTTTGGATTTTAAATAACTGAGGTCAAAATTGTAATTAGCGTCTCCGAAAACTCTCTGTTTAACGAGTTTCAGACAAATATGATGAATTTTAATAAATTTTTCTGCCATCACTGTAAAAAGAGAATCTTAATTTAAGGCCGAAAAGAAGTCTTATTTTAAGAGGCAACATTTAGGCCAGTCAATAAAGACGAAAAGTGCCATTAAATGGTTTTTGAGTATGTTCATTGCATTTCTCTACATTTTTCCTCTGTAAAAAATGGTGGGTCGCAAGTTAAAATTTTGTTTTAAAATGATTGAATTTAAACGATTAAAAATGTCACTTTTTTAATTGTTTAATAACTATGTTAATAATAATCCGATCGGATTATAAATTAATCCATTTGTTAATTAAAAACATGTTGTTATGCAACCTAATTTCTACAGAACGATATGGAGCGAATTTAATTTTTTTTCTTTCATTTTACTATTGAAGAGTAAAAAAAAAATAATCCAATTTCATTATAATTAATTGCATAATTATCGATAAAGAAAAAAGGCTAAGTTTTTTAGTTATAAACAATTACAATTACATTCGGCCACTTTTTACTATAGGTATTTCGAGTTGAAATAAAAGCCATTGAATTTCTTTTTTTCTTTAAAAAACTTACAAAAACAAGTTTAAAATTTGTTCATTTTATGATCATTTAGCTTCTTCATCATGATAAAGACTTAGCAATTATTTATTTAATATTATTCACATTCAAAAAAATCTGATTATTATATAACTCAGTGGGCAAAAAACCATGTTTTGTTTTAAAAACGTTTTTAGAACGTTTCATGTCTGCCAAATAATGTTCTAGAATATTATTTGAACATCTATGTTCTTAAAATGTTTCAGAACATTATTTGTCAGATATGAAACGTTCTTAAAACGTTTTTAAAACGAACATGGTTTTTTGCCCACTGGGAAGGCTAATATAACTTTCTTACTGTACCAAGTAAGATATAAATCTTATATTAAACATATTTTTTGTATGATGCGAATAATAATAAATAAATTTTATAGGTTAGATTTATTGGTTAAATTGTCACTTACATTCAAAACGATCTACATAATCTTCGAACCCCCCTGAGATTAGTAACTTACGCAAATCCACGCATTTTTTTAACACTCAATAAAATAAAATTTATATAGAAATAATATAATTATAATATAAACACAAATGACCACGTTTTCTCACGACATTGCTTCACGAGCATCAGCGTGCTTCACAGTGTTGCCAACCGAATTGCTAACAATTGCTAACCGCGTTTACTAAAAAAAAATGGTATACCCAACTACTCTGTTAGTTAAACTTTTGCATGGAACTATTTTTGTAGGTGTGGTTATTATATCCTGTTTACCAATTCTAAATAGTTGCGCTTGACATCGAAAATATTAAAATTTACTAAAAACATTACTGAATTTTACTAACTAAATAGGCAGGAGAATAAATACCTTCTTTACTAATAAAAAAGTAGTAGCCCCTACCATTCATTTCTCTCAGTGTTGGAATTTAAAAAAAACGGAGATTATAAAAAAAATGCCATTAAAAAGATTGAAATGAGAAATATTTAATACTAAATAAAGTATTTTTTTTAAATATTCAGCCTTTATCTAAGATTATAATAATTTCATTGAATGTGAAATAAAAGTTATTTAATAACACAGGCCTGCATGGTTTTTTTATTTTTGATATTGAAGTCGTTTCCTATGTAATTTTGTGCGCTGAACACGATCCCGTGTCCCAAAATGGCTCAGCACGTCAGAATTTTGAGAAAAGTGGGGGTAAAGAGCCCAAAAACCGTGTTTTTGGGTGTTTTCAAGAATTTTTGTCTCCTTAACCTGACGTGCTAGAAACTTCTACTAGGTCTTAAATTAAAGCTTAAAGCGTGCACTTTAAGACCCATATACCGCAAGTAAAAAAAAACTTAAGGGATTTTGAGAAAAATGGGGGTAAAGGGCACCAAAAAATTTTTTTTACATACTTTATATCGGAGTGGTTTTTTATGTATTTTTGTGCGCTGAACACGATCCCGGGATCCAAAATGGCCAAAAGCGACAGGATTTTGAGAAAAGTGGGGGTAAAAAAATAAAAAAACGCGTTTTTAGGTTTTTTTTTAATAATTTAGGTTAAGGAGAGGAATATTAAAAAAAAACCTAAAAACGCGTTTTTTTATTTTTTTACCCCCACTTTTCTCAAAATCCTGTCGCTTTAGGCCATTTTGGATCCCGGGATCGTGTTCAGCGCACAAAAATACATAAAAAACCACTCCGATATAAAGTATGTAAAAAAATTGTTTTGGTGCCCTTTACCCCCACTTTTCTCAAAATCCCTTAAGTTTTTTTTTGACTTGCGGTATATGGGTCTTAAAGTGCACGCTTTAAGCTTTAATTTAAGACCCAGTAGAAGTTTCTAGCACGTCAGGTTAAGGAGAAAAAAATTCTTGAAAACACCCAAAAACACGGATTTGGGCTCTTTACCCCCACTTTTCTCAAAATTCTGACGTGCTGGGCCATTTTGGGACACGGGATCGTGTTCAGCGCACAAAATTACATAGGAAACGACTTCAATATCAAAAATAAAAAAAAAAGTCGAATTTTGCAGGCCTGTGTAATTTGATTAAAAAATCAAAAATAAATTAGAAATCAAAACGGATGATTAATTCTGATTTTAGAATTTATTAATTTATTTAATCGACTATTTTACAATAAGAAAGGCGCGAAAAATTTGTAGTAAAAAAATGATTTTTATATAACTTGACACTGTTTTCAATCTACATTTTAAATAATTTTCAAGGTCTTGATAGATTGACTTGCAGATTGGAATTGTGGTTAGGGTTTTGGAGATAGGTGATAAATTATGAGAAAGTTTCATTCATTTCCAGACAATATCCGCAGGGTTGAGAGAGAGAGAGAGAAAGATCTCCGGACTGGAAGATAAGGTACAAGGAAATAAAGAGAAAGAAAAGGTGAGAATAAGAAAGGAAACAAAACAAAGAGAGATGTAAAATTCAAGAGAATAGAAAGAAATATAAAAGCCTTCAAGAGGAAATAACGTAGAGCAAGAAAATCGTGGTTGGTTGATTCTCAAAAGGTCCTCTGACTTTAACCTTGGTTCTAGTTTAGTTTCCTCAGCAATGAAACTTTTTTCCCAACGATTTTACCTCAACTGGACCTTTCTTCAATTACTTTATCTATACTTTACTTTTTTCCATGTATTTATCTGAAAAATAAAGAACTCCTTATTATCCAAATAGTTAAACTGTAAACTTACTAAAAAAAAAAGTTCCATATACACTGAAAAAAGGGGTTTGGTATTGACAACCAAACGTTTGGTTGGTATTTAAGCAACCAAATTTTTTTTTTGTTGAATCAACAAAATTTTAATTCTCTCAATCAAAATTTGTTTGACACAACCAAAATTAGAAAAAAAGGATTTTTGTTGTTCTAACTAAAGTTTGATTGTGACAACCAAAATTTTGTTGCTTAAATACCAACGAAACGTTTGGTTGTCAATACCAAACCCTTTTTTCAGTGTAATTCTCATCTTTTTTTCGGCATATGTCAGAATAGAAATTTAATTGAATTATTTTCGATTTAATTTAAAATAATATTTGTTGGATGCAGGTGAATTGTATATATATATACTAATTACGAGATAAATTGCGGTAGATTTACGTTGATCTTCATTAGGCTCATTCATCCTGAACACTTTCTACGGGTTGAGAGGGGGGTAAAACCACTTTTAGTGTGATAAGTGAGGAGCTTGAACATACCAAACATACGTTGCATTTCTAAGACAACACAGCATTTAGAAAGTTGGTGTGTCGAGCGTTTATGTGCAAATTCTCGAAATTCAGAATGGTCCTTTGCGCAGAAACTTTCAGTATAACAAAACTATATTCGATGCACTGTTTCTGTCTTGTGACTGACTGAATTCGTTCTCAAAATCTTGCTTCTGTACTAACAATAAGCCCAGCAGACAGAGTCGCGTCACTTAAGTGTCAGGTGGATAACTCCGCGTATTTCACGCAAAATTTAATTCAAGATTACCAGCAGTGAGACGCTTAAAAGTCTTTGCATAAATCAGACAAATTCTTAGTATTATAATCGTTTTTTTTCTTCTTCTAAAATTTAGCTTCTTCTCAAAATTATAATAATTTCAAGTATGTATTCAGAATTATTTATTGCTTGAAAAAATATAATTTAAAAAAGTTAAATTTTTTAACCATTCAATATTGTTAGTAACGCACTTTAATTAATGAAATTAAATTAATTTCATTAGTCTGATATTGTAAATGATTTACTAAATTGCAAAATTTTTTCTATTTTGTAAAATATTATTTCTTTAAAAAATATTTCTTTAATGAAATTCAAGGTAAAAAATTTGCAACAAATATAGTGCAGCAGCTGTTTTACTATGGAACAAAACTTGTAATTTTACTTTACATTTTGCGTTGACCAAAACTCTGTGCAAAAAGTTTTCATCTCAACGCTTAACAAAAGATTTGAGTTTCAAGAACTCTCTGGTCTTATCTTCTAATTCAAGTCGTTAGATACCTAACATCTGAATTTATATACAAGTTCCTTCACACAACATTTCCGTCTCACTGCTTAAAATTTGTATTTTCTTAATTCAGACATTAGTTGACTAACATGAACATTTATACTTTCGGATATTTTAAGCAAAACCCTAGTAGAAATTTGTCGTGGATGCACTAGATTGACTCAAGTTACTTGACAGTTTTTCTCGCGGACGCTGATTCTAGCTGAACTGATAAATAACTGTGAAGTTACTGATCAGTGCTTTTTGAAAGAAATTCAAGTTGAACTTGATAATTCCACGACTCAAAGCTATCCAGTTTTTTTAATGGCACTGTCCAGTGCTGCTCGAAATTAAATTCATATCCTTGTCATGGCGGTGGCGCTTCAATAAGTCTAGTAACTGGACAGCTATGCTAGGATTTTGTGTATTGACATTTCGCTTGCTTGATTTAAAAAAATTACAACTTGTTTATAAAAATTAATAATAATAATATTAATATTCCTTTCTCAAAAAAAGACAGTGCATACAAAACACATGAAAATGTATCGAAATATCTCGGTGGTCGAAAAAATTGAATTTAAGAAAAAATGAACTTTGCTTTCCAGAGCATCTAAATCAATATTCATTTTATGAAAATCACTGTAAATTATTGTTCCACATATATATTTTTTGCATAACTTATCTTATTGCAATAAATATACACTTGCAAAATATTATTTGTTGTAAATGTTTGCCAGCTGTCATGAATCAGAAACGAACATAACCTATATTTAGTTGAAATCACTTGATTGGCCCAAGACAAAATAGCGCGCGCTTTTTTAAAATAATAAAATTTATTAAATTATAATAAAATAATTGCAATAAATTAAATTATTATGAAAATAATATTACCTTGAATAAAAAGTGTTTTTAGTTTTTAAAAAAAAATGATTAAACAATTATTATTATTTTCAGACAAATTTTACAAATATAGTAGAATATTATTTTTCTGTTTGAGTATATTATAATAATATAATAATAATAATAATAATAATAATAATAATAATAATAATAATAATAATAATAATAATATTATATTATATCAATAATTATTAATTTATTAAAATAATTTTATTTATAAAATTTTACATATAATTTTTGAGGATAATAAATAAAAAAAATTAGTAATTAGTTTTTTATAATTGTCTAATGTTTAAATTAAATTATAAGTAAATCATTTAAAATCAAATAAACATCTAAAATGTTTATTTGCCTAGAAAATAATAAAAATAATATGCACAAATTCATAATATTATTAGGTACAGTGAAATACGTCAAGCATTTATTCTAATATCACTGATCAGAACGGCCGAGTTGCGTAAAGCGTGCGTTTCTTTCGTTCCCGCCCAGCGGACCCGTGTTCGCTCCCCGGTAGCCCCAAGATTTTTTCGTTGAAACTGCGAGAAGTGTTTTAAGGTTTATGTTATGACATTCATATTAATATAAAAATTATAATTGTTTCAGTGTTGTTAACAGTTCAGGTCAAGATGTTGCTTCAATCGTTTTACTTATGTAAATTTTTTTTTTAAATCCAGTTTAATTGTGAATGAAAAATTACATTTTTATAACGAATTACTATATTTAGTGCAATATATTTTCTTATAATAATTTTTGTTGATAATTGGAATATTTTTTTTAATTACATAAAATAAACGTGTTTACTACATTAAATCTTATTATTAAATGAATTTCGAAATATTTAAAAGAATTAATTTGACTAGTTTTTCAAAAGTCCTATTGATAAATAATTATCAAGTTGGGCTGGATAATAACTTGATGAAAAAAGCGTGACATGACATTCGAGTTTTTAGCTAGCTGGTCAGTCAAGTAACTAGACAGACTCCAGCGCGACTAGGCAGTTCCTTTAAAATAGCTAGGACAAATTTCTACTAGGGAATGGCATATAGAAATCCAATTCTTTCTATAATTGTATTAACATACTGCTTTTTACATATGAGTATGTAAAGCACAACATTTACAAATATTATTTCGCATGTTAAAGATTTTACATTAACAATTTTTAGAATTTAAAATATTAATATAACTAGCAAAATTAAACACGCGCAAAATAGGGATATAATTGTTTATTATAAAGAAATTAAAATTAATATTATCAATAATATTTTTAATTTATTATAATATTATTACATTGTTAATAATAATAATGAAAATTATATTTTTATATAATTAATATTTAATAGAATTGAGACGAAGCTGAAGTACGCAACGTTTATCAATGAAAACATTTTTTTAAAAAAGTTAAATATTACGTCTAAATTACATATATTTAACATAGGCGGAATAGTTATTTGAAGAATGCTTAATATACAACTTTTAAAAAAAATTTCTTGGTAAACGTTGTGTACTTCAGCTTCTTGAATTAAATTCTATTTAAATATTTAACATAATCAATTTTTTTTAATTTAATTTTTTTTTCTGAATCATCTTCTTTTTCTCCTATTTTATTTATTTTTTAACTCTCTCAATTCCCTTGCGCAAATATTCATTGTCCACATTTTTTTCCAGTTTTTTAATGTCGCTGACATCGTTTATCGAAATATAAGGAGGATCTGTAGAAAAACCACTTTATTTTTAATCAAAATTTTACATATTTAAATATATAAATTCAATTATTTTTTTATAAATCCATAATTTTTCAAACATGATATCGAGGAAATTATTTTATCAAAGATTCTAAAAAATTTAATTTTTAAAAACTTTAAGAAAATAAATTTTTTTATAATAATTTTTATTTATTAAGTTTTATTACATTAAAGGTAGAAAAAATGATTTTATCTTAATAATTAATGATCTGATTGAAAATTTTTAAGTCCTATTGTATGTCTGGCAGAATGTTTATTAAGTAAAATAATTTTATTATTTTGGAACAAAAAAAACCGTCTAAAATCATGCACGCGTGATTTGCTTTTTTAAAAAATTAATAAAAATTTATATTTAAATATCTGTTGATAATTTTTCAGAAATTCTTCAAGAAAATTTTCGATTTCAAATTTAAATTGATAATTTTTAATATAACATATATCGGTAAAGGTCTTGTAAAAATTTCTTATCATCAAAATATTTATCATTAAATAAAAATTTTTATTTTTTATTATATAAGGGGTCGTTCATTAATTACGTAAGGATGATTTTGGCTATTTTGACCCCCCCCTCCCCCCACGTAAGATTTTTTACATGCATTAGCGCCATTTTTTCTATTGAACGTAAGAATTGCTGGACCCCCCCCCCTCCCCTAAGAGCCTTACGTAATTAATGAATGGCCCCTAATAATAAATAATAATAATTTTTAGTAATCTATTATATGAAATATATAAATTTTCAATTGCCTATAATAAAAAAAAATATTTTGCAAAAAAAAATTATAACAAAAATAAATAAATATTTTGTGAAAAAAAAAACATTTAATTTGTAATATATAATATAAATAATAAATATAATATAAATAAATAAGTAATATAAAATTTTTTTTATTATTTTTAAAATTAATTAAATTATCGTGATTAATTAAATAAAATTTTGAAATTTGATAAAATTATTATATATTTTAAATTAAACTTACCATCAACTTATGCAGCTTACTCTAACAGCAATCGAATCAATTTTTCTCACAATCCTCACAATTTTTTTGCACGATTCTAACAATTTTATAATTTTTAATAATTAAAATACGACCGCACAAATGACAATGTCAAAACATTGAAAAATTTTAACCAACATAAAATAATGTCAAACAACACATTTAAAAAAAACAAAAGACCTATAACAAATACTAACTTCAGGTGTGGACAGAATGAACGAAAGATATTCACGATTATTATATGTAATATTTAGAACTAAAACAAAATTGAGTACAATACTTTTTAAACTACCTAAAGATTTAATTTACAGATTCTATAAAAAAAATAGATTTAATGTATTAAATTTATTGTAAAATTTTAATTCACTTTACATTGATCAAACAGAGTAATATTAAAAGATATAGTTTTGCCATACATAATAAAAAAAAATTTTAATTATGTTTTGCATCATAATAAATCAAAAATTTAAACTGCACTTTGAAATCATGTAAATAATTTCAACCATCGCATCCCCCACAGCACCGAAACTTTCCTAAAGATTTATTTGAAATGTTCGGAATATTTAATTTCAATGTTTAGTAAAAAATTGTGTAAATATTTAAATGCCCCGAAACTTTCCTGACCATTTAAATGAAATTTTCGCCTAATTATAATTATAATGATGTGATATGTCACAAATTTCAAAAATAACATAAACTTGTTTTTATGTTCCTTACATTCCCACAGTGGGGCAAAATGCATTAAAAGTTGGCAAAAAATAAAAAAATTCAATTCCAACTTTTAATTATATTATTTCAATAAGC